ACTTTTGTTCACTTCAGAAAATGCAGCAAAGCAGAGGTTTTTGCTTTGCTCCTTGTGTGCTCTGGCAAATGCACACAAAAGATAGAGTCAGTTCTTTCTTTTAGTAAAGCACGAAGCAAACCAGTTGGGAGCAGGGTCCTGCTGTGGTTGGTGTGGCATAAACAGGAAGAAAAAAGACCTCAGAACCTTAAGGTAAAGGTCAAACATTGAAGAGGTAAGACATAGTTGAGGGGAAAAATGTTTTCTGGGCTGATTTTAGAGGTTGCTAAGCCTTGATAGTATATCTTGGCAAGTCCCTTACCCAATTTATTTTTCAACACTAAATTTGCCTTTTCACTCTTCTACTAAAAAACTTATTTTCTTCTGTCCTAACAATTTCCCCTCCAACTCCAGAAGTATAACTCAATCAGCCAGTCACAAAAGCTTGAGATTTCCAGTAGGTAAAATCAGCCTAGATTTCAGCGTACCTTGATGTAGCAGTTTTCTGTTTCCTTCATCAGCTTTGCGAGTGGGATGAGGTCCAAATGGAGAAATCTAAGGAAAAGTGGCAGTGGACAAGAAATAAAGGCATCAGCAGTGTGGTGTCACTGTTGTGTGGAGTAGGGCCACTGTCTTCAGGGAGTATTCACACGCTGTTCTCATGATGTGCTGCTCCTCCTGTTCTTTCTTTGTCATCTTCCTACCAAGGAAGAAGCATCCTGATTTCCTGCTCCTGGTATCCTGATGGTTCTGGTGACAGTGGAAGCAGCCCTTTGTCCCTCCTTCTGCCATGGCTTCAGGGGCTGGGATGTGTTTCAGGTTCATTCTTCCCCAGGTTAAACTTCTCGACCATTATCAGAGCAACTGGAAGTGTTTTATGTTTTTATATAAGGCAGCTTTTAGGCAGTATTTGTTTACTTATTTTCAATGCATAACGCACAGGGATGTTTAGTGAAGATTTGATTGGTGTCTTATCCAAATTTGTTGTGTCTAGACCTGGAAATAATGTATTTTAGTTGTTTTAAGCAAAAATTGCCCTGTCCATCAGGGTATTTATGTGGCAATGATAGTGCTAGCAATATAGATCAGCAACATCATGGTTCCACTGTGTGATGTGTAAAAGAATTTGGAATTCTTATTCACATGCAGTGTGAATTAATGAAGTATGGAAGTAAGTATGGATCAGTGGTTCACTTGCTGTTAATGAAAAATATGTTAAATGATGACTATGTTTGTGTTTGTAACTAGATTCCCAAAGGACTGTTACTGTTCACCTGGATGACAAAAATGAGACTGGGGGAAAAAAAACAAAAAAGACAGCAATATAGGCCTTAATTGAGTAGTCAGCAATTTACTATCCAGTACGATTAAACAGTATGCAAATGATACTTCTTTCTGACTTCTCTAAATTCTTTTTTTAATTCAGCAGCTGATAGTAACTAACTGGATTAAATTTGTATGAATTTAAGAATTGTAGGATGGTAATAAAAAACAAGCCTAGATTCCCAAATCTCAGATATTCATGATGCTCAACGCATTAAAATCTTGCCATGTCTTGCCCTGGTGTGGCCAAGAATGTCAACAATATTCCGTATGAAGTTTCCACTGAGTTGTTCTGATAGGAATTCATCAATTCCTAAAACGTGATTATAGGATGGATTTTACCTTTTTTCTTGCTCTTCTTTGAAATCTGTTACTAATACAGACAGATGCATAATTCCAGGTACTAAAGTTTCTTAACTATTTGGTGCATTTAATCTTGAAGAGAATAAGTTGCCTCTTGGGGGAATTCCCTTTGAACTAATCTAATTCTAGCATCTTTGCTGGCAGGTAAGCAGGTGCTGGGAGATGGCTGTCCTGATAGAACTGTTCATGCCAAGAAATCAGGCTTCTGATGTATGGCAGTAGTACAGACGGCTGATTTATGGGTGCTTTTTTAAAATACACATTATTGGACTTTCTGTAGCTAATCAAGAGTAACTGTAATCCATCTCACCTTCCTCCTGCCTGCAAAGAATTTCAGACCTTGCTAATGCATGCAGTGCCATTTATTTCGATTGGCAGTGTGACCAACGCTGTGGCTTAGCCAAGTGTTCAGGTAGAAATATACACTTCTGTGTACAGAATACTGTAGTACTTCAGTTCATTGCTAGTTCCTGTCATTAACATTTTTCCTGTACCTCAGTTCTCAGAAATGGCATGGTGCAGTGTACTGGTTAATACGAGAAATGAAAGGAAAACCGTAACACTATGCAGATTCTTCTGCTCACTGGCCAACCCAACAAGTATGATCTTTCACAATGCGAGAACTACATAGGCTTCAGCTTTATGCTGTCAGCCAAATTTGTCGTGTTCACAGTTCTGTCTTCTAGGCTTCATGCAGTTTACTTAGCTAACTCCCAAATGTCTTTCATCTCTTGGACTGTGCAGGTTATAATCTCCGTATTTTGCCTAAGTAAGCAGCAGTTCAGCTCCCTCTTTAAATAGGTTTTCTGAACGCTTCTGTTCAATAACATACAGCCAAGCTCTGGTTCGGGTAATGACAGTAGTAAGGAAGGGATAGAAGAGCATTAGAGATGGGGAGCAGAGCTGTGGGGCAATGGAGTGGTGGGAGGTGCAAGAAGAGTTTGGTTGGTTTGGTTAAAGGCTCGGAGAGGTGAGGCACTTCTCTTTTTTAAAAGGAGCAATTTATTATTTTTTAAGAGAAACTGTTGGGCTTTTTGTTTCATTTCTGCCTTTGCACTGGAAGTCTTAGGGGGTTTTACGTGTGTGTTCACATATTAATTTAAAGTAAACATTGTTCTTGTCGCTTGATGAGACTGAAATGGAATCAAGCAGGGCTAAAATGCAAATGAGACATTGGATTAGTCAGAAGTTACACCAGTAAACTTTGTTTTGTTATGGAAAGTGCTGTAATTGCTGCTTTACATATAACATGCTGTCATTCAAGTTAAACTTGCAGAGAGAACCTTTGTTTTATTTTGTCAAAGGACGGTTTTATTTAGCTGCTTTGGGAACACTGAGAAGCAGAGACCCTGGGCTGGAGGTCGCAGCTCTCATCCTTGACTTTAACTCCCAAAAAGCACCCTACATGAACTCCTGATGCCTGCCTGCAGGGCAGTATATGTGCTGGTCCTGGACACTTCTTAGGTATTATGGATAGTTTCTAGCTGCCTGTGGCATTCTTTAAAAACCATCCAGAGTGGGTGTTTGTTCATTAATGCAGTAAAGCAGTGCCAAGACTACTTACACTCCTCGCTTCTCTTACTGAACAGGCTGCAGTGCAACGTCTGTCCTCCCAGTGCAGAGCTGCATGACCCAAGTGGAGCACTGGGATGAGCAACTCAGCTGCAATGGGAGTTCGTATAAGACATGAATTGCAGCATCAGCCTACTGAGACCTCGAATTTTCTTGTGGAAAATGAGATTTTGCTTTATTTCCAGTGGCATGGTTCCATCTGCAGAATGATTCTGTCAGAGGGATGCTCCCTAGTAGGTGTTGGGACCTCCAGTTCAGTAGACACAGCTGGTCTCTGTTAGCACTCTCGCCTACCTGCCAACAACACTGAAGTAGAATTTGAAGGTGATTCTCTGCTTTGGCTCTTGGTGCCTCTTTTTGTGAAGCTAAGAATCTGAATAGGTATTTGGTTAAAATTTTTACACCTCTCTCACTAGGTTAGTCCTGTAGCTAAAATCCACTGGCCTTTCCTGGAGCAATTGATGTTTCCTGCCCTCTTAAGTGGTGCATGCTTGAGAAACCAGACTTTTTGTGTGAAAGTTTCTGTAAGGTTTTGAAGTACACTATAAATTGAAAGAAGCCATGAGTCTGGATATAGATGCTAGGAACGGTGATCTTCCTGTATTTTTATCAGTCCTTTTCATGTATCACAGCTCTAAATACAAGGCTAAAAGCTCTCTAAAACTTATGGGGGGAAAAAAAAAAAAAGACTTTCAAGGAGGAATATTTCCTTTTTCAAATCTAATAGTTGGACTTCGTCAGCAAATCCTTACTCCTTACTAAACCCTTGTTTTTATTTTAAGTTTTCACTGATGGCTTTTAGGTGAAATGTGCAACAGGAAAATTTCAGGCATCCATTCTGTATTTGGAAGAAAAGTCCTAGCCCACACACTGTTCAGGAATTTCTACTTATCTCTGTAATCAATCAACAAAATCAGATTTTAAACAATTTTAATGAATTACTTTTTAAATGGCGTGAAATATAACTCCCTGATTAATGTTCTGACAAGACAGAAGCATTCTCTGGCTTTGGAAAAAGCTGTTTATATATAAATTCCTTTTTTTTTCTTTTTTTTTTTCCTAACCAAGATAATATAGCTATTTAAGATTATTCCAAGTATTAAAAACAAACAGCTGGGTGGGATGTAATTTAGCCTGGGTGAATAGTTTTCCACAAATACCTGCCTGCGTTCCTGTATCAAAGCTGGGAAACATGGGCTCCCAAAAAGAGTTCAGTAGAACTGTGGTGTTCTTCTGAATTAAATATGAAGGTTTTTTGTTGTTTTTTTAATTCTTTTTAATTTATAGACATGCTTCAACATTTTTTAAAGCCGTAAAGTTTTAATTTCTTTTCATTTATGGATTCAATAATTTTGTGTTTTAGTCAATAAATATATGCTTTTATGTGTCTGATGTTAAGCTAAGTTGGTTAGCAACATATCAAAACAATTCCATCTTTCTTATTAATCCCAAAGGCAGCTTTTGCAAATGTTTTTATACTGTTAATGATTGCAGTGAGGCATTAAAGCACATTTAGAGAACAGAATTCCTTCCATGTCTCCCTCATGCCCTTCAAGTGTGGTACTGCGTGTAGTTGGTTTAGGGCGCTATTACAGCTGTTTAGTACCAGTCCCCAGTGAAGCTTTTTACATAGTCTTCCTTTGCCAGAAAGGAATTGGGTTTGCTTTCCTGTGTTCTGTGCAACCCGTGTTTTTCTGTCTGTTGAAAATGGCTTTTGGAGAGTTAGAAGAAAACTGTAAAACCACTGTAATGTTTTCTTTCAGGAATTACAGCGGAAGTCATAGTGGTAGCCTCTTTTGATGAACTGCACAGAAGAGCTCAAGAGGCCAAGGGGAAGATCGTTGTCTACAATCAACCTTTCATCAGTTATGGTGAAACTGTGCGGTACAGATCACTGGGAGCAGTGGAAGCTGCTAAGGTTGGAGCAGTAGCATCCCTCATTAGATCCGTTGCTTCTTTTTCTATTAATAGGTAAGCATTTTTTTTTCTTTTCTCCCTGCATCTCACATTTCAACCTTTACTTCCCGTGTCATTTTTGGGTGGGCATTTTTGTTTTTTCCAACTTAAATGTTGCCAGTTATGAGTGGGTGTTCGGTTTTGAAACTATTGGCTGCACGATAGTTCATTTCCCTTGTGCTTTGTCATTCTTTCAAAATGTTTTCATTTTTTTGTTACTGATCCAAATTGTGTGATTTTTTTTAATTATTTTTAAAGAACTTCCTGTATTCTCAAGGCTACTATGAATATTCTGAGGTAACCAAAATCACGTGTCCGTGGTGACAACATGTATCAGACTGTGCGTGATAACTCTCTGTATTTGACTGGAATGTATGTGCATAGTTTTTACTGTATTGGTAATTTTCCAAGCACTAGGCTGGCTTGTACTAGATGAAACAGTAATCTGCTTCAAACACCATTAATTCAGAGCACTTTAGAAATAAGATTGGTATTTCTCACTCTGTTCTTTAAATAAGATAGGCTGAAACCATGTTTTCTTGTATTTTTAGATGTCTTAATACATTGCCTACTTACCATATATAATTGATAAGATAATTTTTTTTTTTTTAATTTGACGTTTTTTTCTGACTCTGAAATATTATACATAAAATGGTCATCTGTGTTGAAGAAAACAAGTTGAAGCACAGAGATGAAATGGAGAGGAGTCTGGCCATCAGAAACACACTGTTATTAATATAGCATTTTTAGAATATGACACAGTTGTTGGTGAGTGTAATGCCTGCAGTGGGCTTTGTCCAACAGCCTGCTGGCTGAGATGAGAGATCATACAGGCTCAGAGCTGGACTGAGGACTGTGGATGAACCAGAACATCCACCATCCTTCCCTCTGGAACTTGAGCTGCAAGGTTAGCAGGAGCCTGTGTGGTTGGAGGCAGGAGTAGCTGGGTGTTTAAGCCATGTCAGAGGGAAAGCTTAACTGCCTGGCAACAAAACCCTTTACATGAGGTGGCTCTGAAGAGATGCATGGGTACTGATGGATGGGAAGCTGGTCATGAACAAGCAATGTGCCACAGCCTAGAAAGCCAACTGTATTCTGGGGCACATCAAAAGAAGCCTGGCCAACAGGGTGAGAGAGGTGATCCTGTCCCTCTACTCTGTGCTAGTGAGGCCTCACCTGGAGTACTGCATCCAACTTGAGCCTGTTGGAGCACATCAAGAGGAGGGGCACAGAAATGATCCAAGTAATGGAACACCTTCCCTATGAGGACAGCCTGAGAGAGCTGGGGCTGTTCAGCCTGGAGAAGAGAAAGCTCTGGGGAGACCTGATAGTGGCCTTTCAGTACCTGAAGGGAGGCTGTAAGAAAGAAGGGGACAGACTGTTCAGCAGAGTATGCTGGGATAGGATAGGACAAGGGGAAATGGTTTCAAAGTAAAAGAGAAAGGATTTAAACTAGATATATGGAAAAAGTTTTTTACAATAAGGATGGCGAAACACTAGAACAGTTGCCTGGAGATGAGATGGATGCCCCATCCCCGGAGTCATTCAAGCTTGGGCTGGACAGGGCTCTGAGCTATCTGTTCTATCTGTAGGTGTCCTTGTTCATTGCAGGGGTGTGGGATTAGGTGACTTTTAAGGGTCCCTTCCAACTCAAACAAATCTATGACTCTGTGAACTTTATAAAAGTAAGTGGTGCTGCATTTTGTAATGCTATTCTGTTTGGCCTATGTGTGTTCTGAGTAGTGCATGTTATTGGTTGCTACCCCCAGCTGCCCGTTAGGTCTTTACCCAAAGAGTCATCGTTGTCTGTAGCTAACCTGACCCTGTGTGTGTGTGCCACACTGGGGACGTGTCCTGTTAGGGTAATGGCGTGGTTTCTTTTTGATCTGTGCTCCTTGGTTTTATTGCTATAGAAGTGAAGGCTAGGGAGCAGGATGAAGTAGTATAGCATTGGGTCTTTCTTGTGGCTGACAATGGGAAGTGGCTGGGGCTGGCATTTGGAAGCACTCTTGAATCCACCATTGGGGTCAGAATGTAAGTGGTCACATCTGAGCAGTATTAGAATTGTGCAAATCTCATCATTTGTGATGCTTCAGAAAGTCTGAGAAGTGAAGTAATGCCAACTAACTGAATTGGATGTGCTAAGCTGTTGGTGTTGTCGCTTGATAACATTTTTATGTTTCATATGTTCCCCTAAAGAAGCTGACATTTACGTGCTTAAATTGCTTTTTTGAAAATAAAGTACTTTGAATTCAGATACGGTCCGAACCATAGTAGTGCTCCACAAATGTATCACTTTACAGTATGTTTTCTAGTGCTAATAATGTTCTAGTAAATTTAATACTGTTGAACAGAAAATGGAATATGTTTCAAAAAACAGTTTTATGGAGGAAAAAAAAGTATCTTTTGAAAATAGCCTTACTTGTTATCATCAGAGAACATTGTAATCTATGACCTGTTGATTATCTGAAAACCAGAAGATGATCTGAGCTCTGATCTCTCCAGTCCTTATTTCTGGCACCCTGCAGAGGCATTCATTTGAAAGCTGCTCTTTGCATCTTCTGTTTGCCAACCTGTTTCTGGAAGTGTATTTTAACATGTAATGGAAATTATAGAGATGTGGAACAGAGGTAGAGGCTCAAGGTAGTAAGGCCTGTTTATGAGATCTGAATACTGTGTTACAGTTATATCAGAATTGAATGAAAAGAGGGGAAACACAGCTGCCAAATGCATGTTTGTTTAGAAGCACTGAATCCTCAATCTATGCTGTGAGCTGAGGTGTCAAAAGCAATTTCAAATTTAGATGCTGCCAAGAAGCACTTTTTTCATGAAATGTACTTTCTGTCCTTTCTACATTTACCTTCACTTAAGGGTTTCTTTTAGGGAAGGAGGAGGAATTGGTTAATCTACTTTTCCCTGCAATAAGAGAAATATTCAGGCTCAGTCTGTCACTTCTGCCCCTCAGTGGTGCACAGATCTGCGTTGTGTTTCTGTCAGTAAACAAGCATTGCTGCAGACAGGATGGATTCTCCTGTATCCATGCCTCCTCCTGTGTTTTCTTCTGTTCCCTATTTGTGTCCCCTTGTCAGTCTGTAGCTGTGCTCTGCTGGGCACTCTGTTGGGATGCAGTGCGTCTCTTCAGCCAGCATCTGGGGCTCCTCTTGCCTAGGCTGCTTTTTAGGGTGATTGATGGCAAATGCTGCATTGCTGGAGGGAACAGCAAGAAGGGTTAGAGACGAAAGAAGCAAGAAGGGTGAGAGATGAAAGGTAAAGTGCTTCTGAAAGGCTTCTTAGTATTGTGAAAGAAACTCCTGCATTCTTCCAGTTTGTACACTACTACTTTGTTGACCAGAACCCTCACTTCGGAGGGCCCCCAGTCCACATATGCACCTATATATGAGTAACTGATAATGGTATTATGGCAGTTTTCCAAAGCAAACATATTAGAAGAGAGTATCCCCCTAATACTCACTGTCCCACTTTCCTCAGGTCATCGAAGGGCAGAACTTCACTGTTTTCCCTCAGCTATATCAGTGTGTTTTGTAGTGTGGGGGGTTTTCTTTGTTTGTTTTTAAGATTGCAACCTATATTGAACAGGGCCTATTGCTACTCTGTTTGCAACAGATTAAGCTGGCTAAAGTAATGAAAAACTCTTCACAGTGTGATTTCTAGGTGATCTTCCAATGCGAACAGTATTAGTAGGTTAAAAAGAAATGCAGTCTAGTAAATCAGCATCTTAGGCTTATTGAGGTAGGTTATTAAAGTTTACTGACAGGATGGAATTGGTAAGATCCCAGAGTGAATGAAATCAGTGTTCTCTTACTGGCAGCCTGCTGACTGTTCCTTGGTCCAGAGTTGGCAAGCAGCTACCATGCTGTCAAGGGCAAAAACTGTGGATCCTGAAGGGAACCTTTGAGCAGAGGTAATGTGGGCAGCATATTTTTCTTTAAGGTCTGGTACTAGAGCTGTAGAGAGCATAAAACTGCTTAGGGTCTCAGGCACCCCAAGTCTGAATGAAGGCAAGAAGGAATGAACTTAAACGTTGCTTTATTTCTATCAGAGCTCGTGCCAACTCATCAGTGATAGTGAAGAGCTTTGTTGTTGAGTTTCAAGGGCAGTGTTTGTTTAGGGTTAGGACAAAATGGTAATGACTTAGAAATAAAACTGCCTACACAGTCTCTCTTGGCTTGTTCGAAGATGGCAGTAGTTCCATGGCGTTTGTTACCATGTAGTTCAGCTGGTGTGTCACATTAGGAGAGATCTTGAAATTGTCAGTGTTTTGTGTCAGAGTCAAATGGTTCTCTTGCTACTTCATAAGTATCACCTTTGCAGTGAGTTTTGATACTCAAGAGAAAGTCACAGTAACAAGTAGGTAATTTGCCTTGTCCTTGCAAATGTTATGTTTATGACTACCTGTTTCCCAGTAATAAATTTGGTGGTGAAACCACTGAAATCTGTATATTAGGAGTCAAGAGTAACAGAATTACTTTTAAAGAACCTTCTGAAATAATGCGTATTATTGTAACTAATCAACAGTATCTGTAGTATTTGGCTTTTTGTAGAAGCCAGGATGTTGACATTTTTGGCTGTAGTAGCTTGACTGTACTGTGATTAATGGTCTTGTACAAATTGAAACATGCTGTATGTATATTTGCTGTTGTGTGCAATGAACTGATGAGTGTTTCTCAGTTTGTGGCAGATATTGTGGCAAAAATACTCAGTTTACAAAGCAGAGTTAGAAGATGTGGTTGTGATAAGGTAGCCATAAGTCTACTCTTTTACTTCCTAGCTGTAAGTTTTTAGAACGCCTTATAGGCAAAGCCAGAGATATCCATCCACTGTTAAAATGGTCCATTACATTTGTCTTGTGTGAATGTGCTCTTATCAATCTGAGAGTGTAACAACATCTTTCTGTTCCTTGAGAACCACAGATTAGATAATGTCATAACAGTGTATCTTTCTCTTCTTTTTCTCTTCCTC